GACTTGTGTGTTGTTACTATTAGTGTGTCATTCGGTTACTGTTACCTCTTGTTATCTATAGACTATCAACCAGTGAAGAGGAGTGGACATTTCACTGTACGGGTAGGAGACTACCTGTACATATGGGGAGGGAAACAGCCTGATCTCCCTGCAGTACATAATAATGAAAAGAAGAAATCAATGTGTTCTGTGATGGAGGTGTGTCACCTAAGGACTGGTAGGTGGGAGCAGAAACCCACCACTGGTAACCCTCGACTGGGTGTTCTTAACTATGCAGCTGCTGCCATTGGAAGAGAAATATTTTATTTCGGAGGCCATTGTAATCATGATGAGTGTCGTCATAATAGCTTATATAGGTAAATATAGTAGCTACTGACAAATATTACTGTAGAGCGCCTTTTTTTGAGGGCTACATGAATTTTAATCTAACCTTTTCAATTCTTATTTTATTTATTATTTTTATTTGTTGTGTAGGCGTTGACCCCTCCCCTTCCTCTCTTCCCTCCTAATGCTGCTCCAGTCCTCCCTAGTCTCCTAACCTCAGCTGCTCTGGGCTACTCCTCAAGTCAAAATAAAGACCCTAACCTTTGTATTGTGGATGGTAAGTGCATGTATACATTATGAAAATGGAGGGTTCTCACCTTAGGCATTTTTGATGAAAATTGGTGTACTATACATGTAGTACAGGGACTTTGACCCGATTTTGGAGCAACTAAAAAAATTCATAAAAAATCCAAACTTGATCGGAATCTGCTTAAACTTGCTACACAACATAAGAACTTGTATATGCATCAAGAAAAATTATTAAAATGGAGAATTCTTTCCTTTTCGTTTTTGACGAAATTTGACCAAAATCCCTGTACTATAGTACAGGGACTTTGGCCCGATTTTGGAGCAACTTTAAAAACTCAAAAAAATCCAGACTTGATAGGAATCAGCTCAAACTTTCTACGCAACATAAGAACATGTATATGTATCAGGAAAATTTTAAAAAATTGAAAATTCTCTACTTTTTGTTTTTGGGAAAATTTGACCAAAATCCCTGTACTATAATAGTACAGGGACTTTGGCCTGATTTTGGAGCAACTTTAAAAATTCATAAAAAATCCAAACTTGATCGGAATCAATTCAAACTTTGTACTTAACATAAGAACATGCATACGCAATATAAAAATAAAGAAATCTTTCGTTGCCATTTTAGACAAAATTTTGCCAAAGACACTGTACTATAGAACATGTCCAAATTTTGTATTAACTAGCTCCTCCTCCTCCCAATTATCAATCCACAGGTGATGACAATGGTAACAAGAAGTCCATGGTCCCTCCAGTAGCCACTGTCACCAAGACGCCAGTACCAAAGACCGAAGCTCCTTCTCTTGCTGAACTACAAGCTAAACTGAAAGGATCAAATGATAAGAGAGAAGAAGAGGGAGACGGAGAGACTCTCACCTCACTCCAACAAGAAGAAGAGGTCTCCATATCAGGGAGCAGTGCTAGGATGATGATTATGCAGAA